CACGAGTTCTCGTACATGGCGCACGCCTGGGGAGCCTCGATGGCTGGCTGTTGGCTGAACAAGGGATTCCACTTGACTCTGCAGGAGAAAAGATTACAAACAGTTGGGAAATTAAGAAGATTATATAGCTATCAAAAATAGGAGGCCAACAAAGAAACCACCATGGGTGGCCGCATTTCGCACAATGCAAACATTAATTTAAATAATTTAAAATAATCAAATGCATATTTTAAAGAAAATTTACTAATAAAAAACATCAATTGAATTTTACAGAACAAAAAATGATATTAGCTATTAATAATAGTTTCAGATAAATTTTCAGTTTAATCATATTAAGCAATTAAAATGAAGTAACATTCACCAGGCCAAAGTTAAGGGGCCCTTGTCTCAAAAAGGTGTTAGTAAGTTTGGCCATATTATCAAGCCTTTTCCGGTTTTTCCATTGAAATGTTTAACTTAAATTCGATTTTCATTTAGATGAATTAATACTGTTTATTTGAGACAAATATTCAAACCATTTGCGCATTTATATTTGCATACAGATAGTATACGAGTAAAACCATTGTCAATTGTCTATATTCACCTAAGCTTAATTAAAAATTGTTCATTCTTGCATTCAACCTGTAGTGAAAGGCCCCATATAATGTTTGATCTTAAGATAACACAAAAAATTAAACTATATTTCGAATGGCTTTCACACCTTCTCCCAGCTATAATTATAATTGCCTTAAAGTACAAGTAAATTCCATCACTCACCTCATGGCAAATTATAGAACTAGATATTAATAAATCATAACGCCTGGCCCACAATTAAAGACTGCAATTTTAGAATGGCTCTTGGGCCAAACAATCGCTCTAATTGCCATGGCTTCAACACGTTAAGCGAGTTTGCCCCGAGTCCCCCGATTCGCAAGCATAATTAATAGTGGCTGCTTTGGAGCTGCGGAGCTCCCTTAGATATAAACACGACGTGCATAATTATCTGGTTCGTTATTTATTGTGTGTACAGTCCCGCTTTTTGGACTGGGCCAACGTTGCGTATGAGCGCTGAGCTGTGCGTGGGTGGCGGCCATTTGAGCGTGGCTCTCTAATGTCCAGCTGGTCGGGTAGTGGTGGCGAACCATTGTTTACTGGCCCTTTTCGGCCAGTCTGCAGTTAGCACACAGGGCATGCAAATTTTTGCACTCTGCCCTCGTCGGAAGTTGCTGGATTTTGATTTATGCCAACGAAATTTATGCCATACAAAGTGCGACTTGTCCTGTCTCTGGCTTAAAGTTCCCCCAGAAACCCGAAACAGAGACCGTATCCAGCAGTATCGCAGCTTTAAGTTTTTAGGGGGAATAGATTTCGTTATCGAGACGGACGCATCTACAGAACATCATCAACTTTTGCCTTGTCAGACATTATAAACGGCCTGCACACGCCTCATTTATTATTTATTATTTGTACTTGGGCCGAGGACTTGCTTTTGCATGTAAGCAAATTCCACCAGCAAACATTAGCAGGCAGACATTTTTATTTTTTGATATTTCCCAAGTTATCACAATCGCTGAGCGAACGCGCGCACACCGGAAATACGAGCGGGATGCCAGGATGTCGGTCTGCAGATGGGCTGAATGCTCGTCCCGCTCTCCAGCGCGTGTTCATTATTTTGAATGCCAGTTCGTATACTGCGATTGCCGAGTTTCTGGTCTTCGACGGTCGCCAGCTAGCAGCTGTTAATGGTGTAATCCCCTTGTCGAACGACAGATCCTTTAATTAAGAGGCCACACGTTTGGCTGCCCTTTAATGGCTTGTAAGATTTTTATGCGATTTTCGGAAATTTGGATTTTTTAATGCTGCCACTGCTCACTGGCTGATGGAACTGGTGGGCTGTTTAATTGTCGAGCTAATGCCGATGCTGCTGCTCATTTGCTCTGTTTGCTGGCTTATGAATACTTCCGCTTTACGTCTGCTAATTCGATTAGCAGAAAACATATGTCACAGAATGATTTGAGGGTGGAACGAGCTTTTTAAGGGGTTGGATAACTAACATTTAACAGAACTTACAAAAAACATAAGATACATTGTTTGCAAAAAATCCAAAAGTTTGGTAAATATCTTAAAAACTAATTTGCAGGTCTGCCTAACTGATATTCTTGATTGCTTTTTGTTTATTTTGACCCATGTTCCAAAATAATACTTCAAAAGATGGCTAAGTTGTATGCCGATTGCCTAAAATGTTGTTAGCGAGGACTCGTTCACATTAGATATATTTTAAAAGTGTGTAGACCTAATTACGATTTTATATTATATTATTTCGTGGACGCTTTTATAATATAATGTAAAACCATATGAAACTAAGACATTTAAGGATATCCATTTGCGTACTTTTCAGGTTAGTAAAAAAAAGTGCATGCAATTTAAAGTTTTAACACACAAATTAGGAAAGCTAACTGAACTTACTTTGTGGAGGATTAAAACTATAAAACCTGGTTTTGCCTAATAGTGAAATATGAGGTCGTATTTAAAGCATCTCCCCCAACTGAGGTCAAATTGAAACTATTTATTCCATAATACGAGTGGTATGCAATATAATTTTATTGTACTTGATGCTAATTCATATTTATATGAAACATATGTACTTTTTACTATTAAACTCCACTTTGGTATAAATAGTTATAGTATTGACACAAGATATAGTTTAATTTTAAGAATTATCTTACTTAGTTGCTGCCATTTTTTTTATTTTACTCTTTGTAGACAAAAATACAGTTTAATTTGTGACTTTTATACAAATAGTCGTTTAAAAAAATTATTTAATAACGATTATATTTTAATGGATATACTACTTTTTTATTAAAGAATTTCAACAAAATTAAAATTGGACAATGCTTTTCATTTTTTCAAAATTCAGACGGAAGTTTATTTTGTTTAACACGTTCAATACATATATTGTATTAAAACCGTTGCAAAACTAGGACCAAATTTCCAGACTCCGTCGGATTTTTCAATCGTATGTGTCCATATATAAAACCATAACTCACCTCAGGATTGTGCTTGTTTCTTTTATAAAGTTTATCCAAAAATATGACTCCTCTTCGACTATCTTTCGTACTTCCGGCGGGACAACTTGCAATCGTAAACACTTCACTATCGTTCGGGGTCCGTGCAGTTAATCACTCACTCAAGTGCGTACAAATTGTCGACCGGAAATGAAATTATTGTCAAAATGGCGACGGATATGCGACAAGTGAACGCGACAACGACGCGCCACGCAAATGACGGTTTTGTTTGCAGTCCAAGTTCCGTAGTCCTGGAGCGGATATGCAAGGAAATTTGTCAGTGCAAGGACGACGCCAACTGGACACCGACGGCAGCGAAAACAGCGGGCTCCTTGGGCATTTCTCGATGCCTTTTCGCACAGGTGCACAATAGGTGGTGGGCGGTGGGTGGGGCGCAACGAAAGCGGAACGAAAATGAAATCAAAAAGCGAAATTTCTATAATTTCCGCACAAAAATTTCCGCGACACACTGGCAGGACACATGTGTCCTTGTCGGTTTTTTGTTGCCACGCCCACAGCCAGCAACAAGCTGGGCGTATGTGTCCAAGTTTTCCGCACTCCTTGTCGAGTGTGTGTTTGGTTGTTTGCTCCTTTGCTCCTCTAGTATGCCACTGTTTGTTTTTGTGTGTTGACCAAGAAATGTTCGGATCTGGTCCTTTTCCCGGGATATTGACGACGTGTGACCGACGAATCTAAACCGCAAAGTACCGCTATTATGTCGTCCGCGACGTGTTGCACTTGGTAGCGCGCACTCCAAGTTAATGTGGCGGCCAGATCATCCCGTCCAGTCCACGCTCAAAGATGGCGACACACTCCTCCCCCAAAACGGTACTGTCCTGTGGGGGGAGGGGGCTTTGGTAGTCGGGTGTAATCAGCAAGGATGTCACCCCATCGTCCTGCGTTCCTGCGGTGGCTGATGCGCAGGCGCGCTCTCCGCACCACCCCCACCCACTTTGCCGCTGCCCTTTTATCTGCCGCTGTCATCGGCTGCTGCTCCTGCTGGTGGGCGGAGCCAACTTTGTTCCACCGTGGATGTGGATGTGGATGTGAGTGTGCATGTGGATGCTCCTGCCTTCGCCGGGTCCTTTGCTCCATGTTCTTGGGCATCATTAGTGCTGCCGAAGAGAGAAGACCCCATTTTGGGCGGAAGTGCGTATGAGCAATATTTTAACAATGGCGTTTAAAACAGTTAAAGAGCGTGTGCTGGTGTGCGAGGCCATTAGGACCTTAGTTTTGCGGGCGCTTAAAGGCCCGCAGATAAGCTCGCATAATAACATTTTAATTTCGAGCAAAAGTGGCCACAAAAGGCGCCCCAAGATCCCTAGATGAGCCTGCCAAAAAGGATATAATTAACATGCCAGTTGCTGGAACACACACATGTGTTAAATGACTTTCAGATAAGCGACGAGCACGGTGACATGATTTAAGGTCCTGCGATGGAAGGGGCAGGATAATTTGCGATAAGCGGGATTTGCTGGGGGTGATTAATATACCGTCTTAAGATGAGAAAGGCACTTGAAATGTCTTTCGTATCTGTAATTAAGCTAATGAGGTAATTTAAAGAATTAGGAAATTTATTAAAATTATCTTTAGAATAGTTTATTAACAAATATACTCTTATTTATTTGTTGAATTTTTTAAAAAGTTTACAAACATATTTTTTTTTATATAAAAATAAATTACTTGTTATCTAAACAAAATGTAATTTATATTTCAAATTCCAAATTTGTTTAATTAAGTACGTCCTTTCCAGGATTAGAAAACGTAACGGTACAAATAAGCTTTTCGGAGCAGCTTTAAAGTCCTTTAAGAGCTTTTAGTAAATAAACGAACCCAATCAAATTGAGCATTGTCTTTTCAAGAAAAATAAAACAAATTTGGCATTGCTCTGTTAAATTTAATTTGCAAATTTGTAAATATAAAACCACAGTACCACCCAGAAAAAATATATTAAAATACAAAAAATCTTCAATATTTTAATTGAACAAAACACACAAATGTACACTTATCACAATAAGTTTTGCTGTCTACAACTCGTATGACAAAAGTAGTCGCAATTATGAAAATGGTCTGCTTAGTTGCACTTGATCAGTTTAGCCAGTGATAAAAAAGTTACAAGAACGTGAAAGGGATTCAGCAAGAATAATGAATGTCTTGGAAATGCGGATGGAATTTAAATAAAAAGGAGCAAAGTCTTTGAATAGTAACTGAGCAGCTTTAAATGCGGCTTTTGGAGCTCGATTTGACTTCGAATAGTTTCCGCACAAAGAAAACCTGAAAAAAGGAAAAATTGTACAAATGGAGAAGGAAATTAGTATGGTTTTCTTGCCTGTATAGAGCACGTGATCAATATGACCACAATTTGACTAATCGAGAAGGTTTGAATATAGGCATTGTTGTCCAACAGCAACGCATAATCTCGCGACTCGCGATGTCTGCTATGAGCCTGATAGCCCATCATATCGTTGATATTGCGCTCCACGGTGCCAATGGTGGTCTAAATAAATAGATCAGTGTGAGTTATTTGTGCTCTTTGGGTGTGTCATAATACCAGTTTGACTCACAGTGAAGTTCTGCATGTTCAGCTGCAGCTGTTCGATCTCCTTCGCGTACTTGTCCCAGGCATCATACTTCACCACCGTGATATATATGTTAACCAGCTTGCCGGCAAAGCGCGAGAACTGGTTGTCGATACACACGGAATAGTAGCCGCCCGGCGAGACCTGGTCGGTGTAATCCGCAGTAGCCTGCCATTGGTAGGGCTTCACCACCTCACCAGCAGGATTGCGAACTGCGAAACCAGCCATGCCGTCGCCTCCACGCACCACCTGTAAAATCGATTTAAATAAAAGGTTTGAATACTTTAAAACTGAATAATTAAATGTTTTATGAGCTGTAAATTATTTAAACAATGTCTTGATTTCTCAAAATATATGAACAACATAATTATGGAAATGCTTCGTAATAACTTGTCTGTAATGTTGTAGCAGCAGTCTGAATTCAACACAATTGTAATTGTAATAATATTATTTAATATAATATTTGTTATATTTTAATAATATTTGGTCTTTTATTTAGTTTGTTACTGATAAAGCAGCTATAAATTAAACAATAACAATTACGTTGCTGCAACCTTTTAAAAAATGTACCCTTTTAAGCCTTAAGAACTATTTTGCCTGGAACGGGTTCCATTTTCAAACACTCTTATAACTAAACATATACAGGGGTGGTCAAAAGTATTTGCACAAATTACACGTACTTACTCATAAGAAATGTGCAAATACTTTTGACCACCACTGTATCATATTTGATTCAGCCAACATTTCTGCTTCATTGACAGAATTGATTTTTGAATCATTTTTGATTGAGTTAAGGAATACAAGTAATTGGTATAGAAACATTTGTACATATATAATTATGTCTTAAATATTTAACGTCCACTTACACTGAAAGACACGTAGAATGTGGCTCCCGCCTTCACGTACTGATGGTAGCAGTCCTCCTTACCAGCATCTATGTGGACCTGGAAGACAAGACAGATTCCAGATGAATAAGAGCCTCGGGAGGGATTTGAAGCCCGGCACCCACCTTGTAGTCCATGGCCACTGCTGGAAGATTCTCGTACCATGGTTGTTGGGCCTCTTGTGCGGTAGTTACGCTGATTAGCAAACAACAACAAATCACGGCAAGGGGAAGTATAAGATTAATCTGATCTCTTTGCCACGTCAATTGCATTTTGGGATTTCTGGTCGTCGGATTTCTAGAGCCTGGGTTGGGATGATCTCTACGAGCGCCTGTCTGCCGTTTCCTCTGCGCTCTCTGTCAACAAAAGGGGTATATGCACCTGTTAGCTAGCTTTCTATTTGCCAAATTAACATAAAGTTAAATAAACCGAATTCAATAAACAACCGACCTGTTGCTTAGAGGTGGACGTCTGGTATGTTTTGGTATTTTCTAAAGCAGGGTTGCCAGATCGTTGTAAAAGACAGTATTTTTCAATAGGGGTGGTATTTTTATTCAGGAATTTACAAAAAAGAAAATGTAAGGAAGTATATATTAAAACCGTTAATGTTATTTAATGTGTATTTAGTTCAATACTACTAAGAATAAAAGGCCAAACAGTCACATCTTACAAAATTGTATTGTAAGATTTATTAGGCAGTGAACAAATAAAACACTACAGAATAAAAACAATAGTTGAGAAAGAATAAAAAAATATTTAACTCCATAAAATATATACGCTTTTTTATTGACTTACACAGACCGATAACCATCATTTCATCTTTAATTAAATAATTTTATTATAAAGTAATGTTTAGAACGGATACCGAACCCCCTTACCAACTTTTTGCCTGCGCCCATGTGCTTAAGGCGGCCGTGCTTAAACAGGGCTGGCAACATTGAAATTTAAACTGATTAAAAAAAGTTGAAAGTGATAAAAAAGTGAAGTAAACAAAACCAAGTCTAATTTACCACTGAATTTGAGCAATATCTTGAGAGTGCAGACCCTAATCTAAAGACTCCTTTTTCTGCTCATCCCTCTTATCACAAGCCTCTTCATCGCCACCTTTTTGTGATAACACATTGTGTTTTTGTTTGCGGCTTTTTAGCGATAATTAATACAAATACATATGCGCATCAAGTGTTGATTAACCTCTACGTTGTGGAGAGGGTCAGATAAAAACGGAGTGCAATTGGCACTCGCACTCATTTCCAGCTGCAGCCGAATCCAAGATGGTCAACGTGACGGAGGATGTCTTTGCCACCGGAGCGGTGAATCCGTTCACCAACTCGAAGGATACCATCAAGCGGTTCACCCTAACAAATGGAGGTGGAATGTCTGTCCAGTTGATCACCCGTGGAGCCATCATAACCAGCATAAAGATTCCGGATGCCGGTGGCAAAATAGATGACGTGACTCTCGGATTCGATGACCTGGCGGGTTATCAGAGTGACAGGAACCCCTATTTCGGTGCCACCATTGGTCGGGTGTGCAACCGGATTGGAAATGGCAGTTTTCAACTGAATGGAAAGTTAGTGCAGGTGTCAAAGAACCGTGAGAACAAGTTCCAGCTACATGGCGGTTTTGTGGGCTTCGATAAGGCCCACTGGGAAGTGGTGGAAGTGCGTCAGGATGGCGTTACTCTCTCGCACACCAATCCCGACGGGCATGAGGGCTATCCCGGGAAGGTCACAGCCACTGCGAGCTTTACCCTCAGCGAGGATAACTGCCTGCATGTCCAGATGAGAGCAGTAACCGACAAAACGACGCCCGTAAATCTCACCAATCATTCGTACTTCAACCTGGCTGGCCACAAAGCCGGGGCCAATGGTCTCTACGAGCACACCATCGAGATCAATGCTTATGGGATCACCGAAACGGACCAGTCCTCTATTCCTACGGGAAAGATCACACCCGTGGACGGAACAGCCTTTGATCTTCGAGTGTCCAACAACCTTGGCGAACGTCTCAAGGAGCTGCAACCAGCCCGGGGCTACGATGACAACTTCTGCGTGACCTTTAACCCACCGCAACCACTGGCCAAGGTGGCCAGAGCCACCCATCCACCCAGCGGACGATGGTTAGAGGTGGTCAGCAATCAGCCCGGAGTACAGTTCTACACCTCAAACTTCATGCCTGACGTGGAACGTGGTGAAGCGGCCATTCCCGGCAAGGAGGGAGCTGCCTACGCCAAGCATGGAGCCTTCTGCCTGGAGACACAGAAGTTCCCCGACTCCGTGAACCACAGCAGCTTTCCCTCGACCATTTTGCAGCCGGGCGAGAGCTACAATCATGAAGTAATCTACAAGTTCGGTGTTTCTCACTGAGTGTCGAACACCTTATCTAAACTATATATACGAATAAATACCATGTATCTGACTAACCAAGCAACCCGTAAATAATATAGCCAATAAATCTAAAGCACGAAGATTATGCAAAAAAGTTCGAACACGATGCGACAATAAAACGAGGGCAATCATTGCAAACCACGAGTACAGGCCATATATAAGCTGTTGAAGGGTTTGAGCCATAAATCATTTAAAATGATCCTTCAGCTGGGGCTAATCATTCAGGTTTCTCTGGGATTTGCCCAGGAAATCGGCTCCCTGCGAATTATGAATGGCACTGCCGCCAAGGAAAAACAGTTGCCCTACCAGGTGGGATTGCTCTGCTACTTCGAAGGCTCTATGGAAGAGCCCAATTTGTGTGGAGGCACTATCATTAGCGAACACTGGATTGTAACCGCAGCCCATTGTCTTCAGGATCCCAATTCGAAGCTGTAAGTTTGCGAAAATATTTTATTTTCGATTCCATTAATATTAAATTAAAAGTACCAATCCGTCTATATATATTTTTACTTAACAGGTCCAAAGTACTAGTCCACGTGGGAAGCCTTGAATATTTCCCTGATGAAGAAATCGTGGTTAACAAGAGCCACACCATCGTACATTGGAAATTCGATCGAAATAAGGTGACCAACGACATTGCTCTGATCAGACTGCCCAATAAGCTTACTTTCAATAAGAATATACAACCCGCCAAGTTGCCCAGCTCTAAGAGAACCTATACAGGTCGCATGGCCATAGTTTCCGGATGGGGTTTGACCACCAAACACCAGCCCAGCAAAGTCCTTCAGTACATCCGGGCGCCCATCATCTCGAACAAGGAGTGCGAGAGGCAGTGGAACAAGCAACTAAAAGGCAAAGGCAGGAAAGTCGTGCCCAGCTCCTTCATTTGCATCGACTCCAAGGCGGGTCTGCCTTGTCGAGGCGATTCTGGAGGTCCAATGGTCCTGGACGATGGCTCCAAGACGCTGGTGGGGATTGTGTCCCACGGGTTCGATGGCGAATGTAAGCTGAAGTTACCAGATATATCCACACGCGTGTCGTCCTTCCTTAAGTGGATAAAATATTACACTGGGGGTCTTACATAACAAATCTGGAACCATTAAAAAACGAATCTGTTTTCAAACGTGTGCTTTATTCTTATTACTTCATACAAACTCCCATACACTTTCCCGTTCTCCGTTCCATTTTCATAATATTCTCTTGTGGCTTTGCTAGATTTGTTATCATTTCTTTATGTTGTTCTCGATTTGTATGTTATTTGTGACTTTGACGGTGTTGCATGTCGTTTAAACAATTTGTTTATGATAATGTTTAGATGTTCTCGTTTGTGGGCTTTGTTTACGTGTGAGTGTGTGGTTAATGTTGCTGATTATTTGCAATTCTTTCGTTTTTATTTACCTTATTTGTTCTCGCTATTTCGTAAATGCAGTTCTCAAAATGTACAAAAACCTAAATGGAAATGATACAATGAGTGTGAGTGATATAATTTGGTTCTTTCAACGATTTTTGTAGTATTTGTCCTATATGTACAAAAAGTGTAAACGAAATTGTGAAAAAGCTATACAATTTGTTAGTTAACAAAGCGAATAAGTTGATAAGAACTCGGCTGAATAAATTAGTTTTCTTTTCGTTTTCTTGTAGATTTTCTTTTTATACGGCTGCTTGAAGACTTCAGAAAAATTTGTTTGTAACTAGCGTAAAATTTGTTAATCTTTCGTTTAAATATATAAAAATGCACATATTATCCGTAGTAAATAATAAATGTAAAGTAATTGTTAAATTGTTTTTTATCTTTTTGTTAGGTTTTTGCTTTATTTTCGTTTGCGGCTTGTCTTGTAAAAATGATCAAGTAATTTACTATGCGTTCAACTAGTTTTATTTTCGTATTGAAATATATATGCTTTATATATAATTTTGTAACTTTCAATATTGCGTTTATCATTTGCCTATAAATCCATAGAGTTAGTGTGACTTGTAACTATATGTTATCATAAATATTTATTATTACGGTGACCTGTTCCAATTCACAGTTTGAACCGAAAACCGAAATGGAATTTTGCGGCATTTTGGAAAAATGATTTAAGAACAGATATTCTTTCGTTAGTTAAAGTGTAAATTTTGTATGCGTTCCTTTCGTATAAAATGTTGGTTGGGCTTTTGTATTTTACTTTAACATACGCAAAATATATTTTGTATATTTTCCATGTTTCACTTAACTAGGGCATTATGTATAAGTTATTATTTATTATTACTTTTGCTAAACTTTGCCTTCTTTTTTGGTTGTTTTCTTTTTTCCTTTGTTGAAACAGTAACTTTCAGTCATCTTGTAATCATAATAGATACATATATGCAATATTACATACGTACAATAATATTCTGGTTTCGTAATTTAAATTTGTTATGAGCGCCGCGTACAATGCATAAAAAACGCATTCCCTTTCTTATATAGTGTGTCGTGTTCGTAATTCACTTTCGATTAGGTTTCTCTCAATATCGGTTGTATAAAAGCTAAAATGTTTCCGCTGCGTATGACAAAGTTACCTAATATCCCGATCAGGCGATCCTATACCCGATACAAAAAATCACCTCTCACAATTTTCGTAAAAACTTTCCGCTACCGCTCAAACTAAATTTGATTAGATCTTCGGTTTCGTTTTTCTTAAATTTTTTCATCTTCTTTTGGCAGTTATCGTTTGTTAGGTTCTTTTGACATGTTTGTGGTTGTTGTTCTTGTTGCTGCAGCAATATCGGCTGAATATCATTGATTTCACGTATGTATATCTTCGTTATCATTAATTATGTATATGCTAAGCAACTAACATTGGACCATTTCCATTGCGCGACGCACTATATAAGAAAACTAGCTACTTGATTAATTTACCTTTATCCATATATGCATATATTATATATATATATTATACTCGTATTTATATATTTATATTCGTATTATAATGCAGTTACGTTGCGTTACGTTATTAAAATGAATTACGCCGGCAGCCGGGGCACTGCCAAGGAAAGGAAACCCATGGACACCCACGCCCCCGATCTCAGGCCCAGTTCCAGCCCAGCGGAAAAGTATTGTACAGCGAAAGCATCCACCCGGAAAACTGCCTCTCGATCACCTGGTACAGCTGCTGCCGCAGCCCGATCCCCACGGCCACGACTAGGACAACGGCCACGAAAAGTCATCAGTCGCACTCCGGTCCCTCCGAGAAGTGGCCCCGCACGTCCAGGGCCGAGGCCAGCTGAAAGATGATGTGCGACAGCGAGGGGTGCTCCAGCAGCTCGTTCGCCGGCAGTTGGGGCTCACATCGCGGCCTCATGTGCCGCCCCCGGAATCCTCGGTGCAGGCGGAGCACCACATCACAGAAGACGAAGCGCAGGATCAGGGTGCGCAGGAAGTCGTCGCCGAAGAACTGCACATAGGAGGAGTCTGAAAGAATAGTTTAAATTGCGTTTATTATTTGTGATTTATTGAGTTGTAAGTAACTATTCGAATCGTTCAACCTATGATTTTATAAACTATCGTACTTATGAAATAAAATCCTACTGTTCAATAGCATTGAAATGGGTAATTTCTTGAAAATATGTTTATGATAATTTATGTAACAGAAGTAAATGGCAAAGTGAAAGCTTATATTTAGTAAATTATTGGTCATGTTATGTTAGAGAGTCTAACATAAAATATCTATGACTTGGATTGGAAAATTCAACATTTTATAATGCAATATTAACATTTGAGTATTGATTGATTAAACTAGGAAAACCAAGATAATTTTTTGTGTTTAAACATATATGTTACTCGAATACTATATTTTCTTGTACAATACATATTTGTTATTCTGTTATTGTGCTGGACAAAGTAAGCTTCCACTCTAATTATACCCTTGCAGAGGGTATTATAATTTCAGTCAAAAGTTTGCAACGCAGTAAATTTTTAATTATTTTTTGTTGTTCTTTGTGATTTGTTAATATTTAAATCTTATGTAATTACGGTTTAAATTAAATTAAAATCGGACAGCAATATCATATAGCTGCCATAGAAACGATGGCAAAATGCAGCGCAAAATCGTCATAGCTTCATTGTTTTTAGAAATATAGGCATAGAAATCGAAATGTAGTCGATTGGTAATAACTGCAAGGGTATATAAACTTCGGATTGCCGAAGTTTGCATCCTTTCTTGTTGGATATTAAATTCAATATTCAAAGCACTGTCAACCATTTCTCAAACCTCTCTTAAGACTCCTGTGTGTCCTGCAACCAGAAAGGTCTACTCACCTATAAATCCTATGCCCTGTTCGATTTCATCGATGCGACACCGAGTCACTAGACGTGAGGCTTCCGTAATGAAGCGGTCCACGTAGGTCTGGCAGCGTTCCCAGTGGTGGATGGGCACGTCTCCAACGTTGCAGATGTAGCAGAGGGCGGTGAGCGGGGAGTGCAGGAACAAAGTAAACAGCGAGCCATGGTGCTGGACATCAGCTATAATCGCATTGCAAACAGAATCACTCAGAAATGGATAACACAAAAGCAAAAAGAATAGGAGTCTTACCCTGGAATGCGGGTGGCACATCCTGCGGCGACATGAGCACCACCAGCGGCTGGCCAAAGTAGCGCGGTATGTGCTGAAAGACAAACGAGTTGTCCGAGTCGATCACGACGAACATGGGTCGCCGTGTGAACGGATATAGATCACCCGGATATAGGCAGTGGTTCTCCTTGTACGACTTGCCCCGGCACGACAGACCGCCTCCGTCCACGCTGTCCCGCTTCACGCTGGTGGCCAGGCCGCCCAACTCGTAGCCAACTGAAAAACAAATTTTTTTTAATGATGCAATAAGATTCAATCTTTAGGATACATTCTTTAACGATAAAATAAATCTTTAAATGTCTTAAACATTTCATTATTTTATAAATAATACATAAAATAAAAAAAGAGAGCTTTTTAAAGGTAAATAAAAGTGAATACATTTCCATCTCACATTAAACAAAATATGTGTACTTTCCATTGGCATTTAACAATTGTATAATGAATTGTGTTCAATATAGTTGCATTATTTAACCGTGAAGTTTTTTAGAACTTATTTTTTGTCTAATAGGTAAATTGCAAAAAATGAATATTGTCCAAAATTTGTATATCAGTGGTTTATATATTGTTCATAAACATTATTGGCTGTCTAACAATTTAAAGTTACTTTTCGGTTTAAAAATGCTTTCTTTAAACTCTATCTAATGGCTTTGTACTTACAATCCTCGGGATGTTTGGTGGTGGAGAAGCAGCCATCGGCGGACATGTAAAGGAGGAGGGCACCGCCCAGCGGCAGTTCCTTGGAGCCGCTGGCGAGGAATACCAGCAGCTGGCTAATCGAAGGTTTGTACAGTAGATACTTGTGGGGATTGTCTCGAAAGGCCCGGCCGTTCTCCATGTAGCCCTTGGAGCCCGGCACTCCGTACGGCGGTATCCGGCTGGCCGCCGGACTCGCGTCGTGCCCGTGGAGTCCGTGGGCCATGCTCAGCGGATTCGTGGTCGATTCCGTGGGCTCGCGCTCCAGTGTCTGCAGCATCCGGAACATGTCCATGGTCAGCTCCGAGAACTTGGCCTGCTCGCAGGCGGAGCCCACGATCAGGATCTCCTGCAGGCTGAGCGTCATGTGCGGCGATCGCTCGCAGGGCGGCGTCGTCAGCGGCGACAACCTAGAACCGGAACCACTAGACACATCAGTCGGGGTAGTCGCACTCGTCCTCAGGCGGATGGCGGGGCCCGTGCTTTCACAGAAGATTTGAGAATGCGGCGCACTAATGAGGTGACAAGGGTACGGGTGGAGAGGGGGCGGGTGTGGGAGTGTGTTCCGGGATCAGGGACCAAATGATAATGAAATGATAACATTCTGTGGAGTGTGTGTTCGGTCGGGCAATGAAACTTATATTCCTTACTCAATTAATTAATTTAGTAAGCTTCTCTGGATATACATTTTAAATTTATAAAGAATTATGTATATAAAATTAATTTAGAATTTTATTTCAATCAATTTTAAGTGTCTTAAAACAAGTGTATCTAGCAAGAGATTTAAGTTCAAAACGAATTTGGTTTTTAAATTCGATTAAATCCAAAAGGAAGATTTACGTTTACATTTTAATTTACATTTACAAGATGTAAGAAAATGACAATATAGTGAGATTTCCATTATTAACAAATTCAAAAGTTTCATTGCTTAACCAGGACTGTGATTTGTTTGGCGGGTGTTTTGGGACAGAGATCATGGTTAAAGTGCGTGACAAAATGACAACGGTGAGTGTTCTTTGGTGTTTCAAGTCTTCTGTGATAAGCACAACAAATGAACATAATCAACGGCAACGGAACTCAAGCAAAACTCGTATACCTACGCAAACAGAACAGGGCATATAGACATATGCGGACAGAAGGGCTATACACTTGGCCACCCACAAGCTGTCCAAACTCCTCCTCCGCCGACGAAAGCACGGGCAAGTATCGCGGGTACGGACAGAGGCTGTGACAACGACTCACCTGTGCGACAGGATGATGGGATTGGAGTCGGCGTGCAGGACGGCCACCGCCGCTTCCGCCTTGATGAAGCCCTTGATCTCCTCCAGCACCAGCGACCACTCCAGATGATCCTCCGGCTCGTAGCTGCGGGGAAATCTGGGGATTAATACGGAGTCAAAAAATGGGCCACTAAGTAATTACGTGTTGGTGTACTCCTGTATTTGTTTTTCCAACTCCGTGACCAGTTCGCGCACCAGCTTCATCTTCTTGAGCAGCAGGCAAACGACAATGAAGCGGGCGTAGTATCGCAGCTTTTTCACCATCAGATCCGGCCGATCCTCCTTGGCCGCTCGCGAGTAGTAGGCCCGACCCCTAATAGCCGCATAGAACTGATACGCCTCGTTCAGGTAGTTGGTTTCGCTGGTTCTTAAGCTGCAAAAATAAATACTCCGATTTAGTTCTGCTTTTTCAGGAAACATGGTCATACATTTGCATCGCAATGTGTTCTATAAAATTAATAGGTTAATAAATACAGAATGTATTTACATAGTTCTAACATTTGTATGTTCTATATTCATTAACTCGTAGTCCTTTAACTAAAAATAGCATGTTCTTAAGCTTGAAAATATCAAAACAATTTGGCATCCTATAATTCAGCCTCCTTTTTAAACAGATATAATTGTGATTTTCCAAAATGTTTACCCTTCTAAAATTTGCAGTATCAAAAATACTTTCCAAATTCTTAATTCTTAAAGTTTTGTCAATCAATAAATGTTGTAATTAAAATGGAAAAAGCTAAGTTCTGTCTTAAGGTCTCCAATGCAAATGTATTCTTCATTTCCTATACTTACTAATAGTGATAATAGAGCTGGCCAATTTTGCTTGCTATTTCCCCGATCTGCCAGCGTTTCAGGCCGTACTTTGAGTCCAGAACCATGCGATGTTGCTGCTGGAACTTCCACAACTTGGTGTAGACATCGAAGGTGCGACCGAAGTAAGCTTGCCACTGCCGGTGGCCATACTGCGGCAGATCCCTGTGGAGGATACACAAATCAGTTATGAACTCAATGCGGTACTTGAAACCACTCACCTGAGCCCGTTGAAGAGCTGCTTGGACTTCTCTAGCAGGTGGCAGAACTCCAAAACTAGCTTTCGATCCTGTTCTTCCGTGGATTCCATTTTCACCATGCCGTTCTTCTCAACCGCCACCGCAATGTGTTATGTCTGCGAATCGGTTCTGCTGCAATGGAAATTATTCATTTGATTAAGCTGAAGTGCTTTCGGTAACTCTACAGAACTCTTGACTTTCGAAATGAACAGAGTCTGGGGGATTTCCCCACGAACTATGCCGTAAATAAACAAACTGAATCATGCAATTTTTTCGATATGTATCTACCCATCCGTCTGTCCCTATAACCATCTATCTATCTTTCTATCTATCGGTGCACGTATCTATACCAAATGAAGGGGCGGGGCTGACTGCCCACTTGAGATTCATTCAGCCGCTCGTTGAGCCATTGTTGATGTGGATAATGTGCATAATGACGACGATGATGTCAATGGGCCTGCTGCTGATGCCGAGGCTTTGCATACAATAAAATGAAATGCCTATGCGGCTTTTTTCCTCCACGAATACGCGTATTAAATTTTTAATTTTTGTGTTCCCCAATCAAATGGAAACTCAGCTGCCGTTTGCTTTTTGGCTTTGTTTTCTAAGTCGGGATGGTAACGATTTAAAGTCATAACTGCGGGATTCTCGATTCCGATTTCGATACCAATACGAATTCAATTAAAATTTCAATTTGGTAAAAACAATTATGTAGCCTTTTAAGTGCACACGAACAGATGGATGAGTTGGCCTGGATGGGAGATGAAATGGGATGGGACAGTCGTTATACTGGCTATGCATCAAAAGCTCAATTAATAACGCCCGACCAGGCGACCAGGCGAAATTGTTTGCACAGAAAAAAAAGAGCACAGACAAACGGAGGAAAAACCCGGAAAATGTCGAGCAGGGCAGAGCGGAAAACAGAGTAAATGCACAAAAGGGTCGGCAGTGCAAATGGCGCCGCAGCGGCCACATTGATTTGGCTTTGGCCAAACTAGGTCGTCCCACAGAGCACAAAAACTTTCAATATGAGCTCATCACACAGCAGCCCAGTACACTGAGAAAAATTTGGATACCTAAGATTAGGTCTTTAGGGTGAAAGTGAAAGCATAAAGTGTAGAATAGACACTAATTTTCTGTTGGAAAAAGTTATTGCCTTAATGTTTTTTTAGAATATTGATTTTTAAAACCAATAACTAATCTTAAAAAGAGTAATTTTAGCCGCAATTCTTATTCTCATGTCTTTAGTTTTCAAATATAAATATTTTCTTTCCCTGTAGCTAGCATGAAAAAGTGGAGATGTAAGCTAGTGGCTGGGAGATTGAGCAAATATAGTTTCCTTTTTTTTTGAGGGAGGCAACTGAGAAAATGCGTCAAATATGCGTCACCTCGGCGAGAGTCCAACCAACAAGTCAATTTGGGGCACACTCTGCGAACAGGACACATTTATGGCGCCCTAATCAAATTAAGCTTCCATTTAGCGCGTTAAAATTACATAATATGAAAATTACGCATACGCAGCGTTAACAAACAAGCAGCGAGTGGAGTAGCAAAACAAAGCTGACTAACCAGCTCGCCCACTCACTCACTGAATGACAGACTGGCTGCTGCTCCTGCTCCTGCTGCTGACTTCATCATCGCCATCATCCTCGGCAGAAGTTAACCAACATCATCAGCATGTCAACATGTGGAAGCCGGAAATGAAGAAACACAAATACTAAGCAGAGTCGTTGCCACTGCGATATTGCTCATTAACACCCTCCCCGTCGCCAGAAAACTCCTGGCCTGTCCTGTCCTGGCCCCCCATCGTCCTTTTCCCCATTTCCCGCCCAACGTAGACACACATTCGCAGTTGGTGCACTGCTACGTCAGAATGTCGTCCTGCCACCAGCAAATGCGTCAAGATTGGTTTGAAAAACTAAATATTGCACTTATTCTGAATATATATTAGGGAATATTTTTTATATATTTATTAAAACTGACATTGTCCTACAAATAAATATTGTTAAATTTATAAATATTTGTTTAAAAAAAAACAATTTTTATTTGGAAATATATATTCCTTTACAAATATAATTAAAAACACGTTAAATACCTTTGACAGGTACCAAAAGAATACAATACTATTTAATTGGCGTAATAAAATCAGTTATTCAGTTTTTAAAAATTATGTAAAATTGCTATAAATGTATGGGAATTAACAATATAATTTGTAAGCAATATTATATTTTTTAAAAGTTAATCGCAATCCTTGGTGTAAAAAAGTATTGGTACTTAATAAATGGTTATAGAAATGTTGTGTTTTTGGAACGTAGAATTTCGAAAGGACTTAAAAAAAAGAGCATTTTTGTCGCCTTGTCGAAGTCAGTCAGTAGTTAACGTGGTAAAGTTTTTTCTTTTTTTCGCTGTTCCTTGTGTTTTTTGTAGTTGTCGTACTTGTTGTTGCGTGTGCGTTGTTGCCTGTGTGACAATATGTACAACAGCAGCAACAACAACAACTACGCGAGTGAGTACTACTGTTGGGGAAAATCCCAATCCCAGTCAAACAAAGCGTGCAAAAAAAAAGAAGCAGAAGCGGAGAATGCAACGCACTTTGGCGCCCATCGTCAGGGGGCGGAGTGGCCTGAGAGGGCGGGGCAGGGAGCGGGCAGCGCGCTGTTGACTGACTGCCAGTGCGTGCATGTGTGGGTGAGCGTGTTTTTCAATGCCCGCCAGCACTCCTGCAACAGCAACAACAGCAACTGCAACACCACCAGCAGCAACACTGCACACAAAGAATGTTTAGACCAATTTAATATTTATAAATTTGCTTAAATCATTATAAAATTATTATAATAAAAATATTTCGAGAAATTATATAAAATAAGTATTTTGAAAAATACAAATGTTAGATAATAATTTCAACATATTTTTGGGTTTATAAATTATTTTCGAAAATATGGGTGTACTTAAAAACTTAACTGAGAAATAATTAATAAATAGTATATTTATTTAAAAGAATAACAGAATAATATGAAAAAAGAAAAAACTTGTGATTATTTTCCATATTGATTCAAAGCGACTTAGCAACTAAAATGATTTATGATTATATCACATTCCAAATTTGAATGTTCGGAAAGCATATCTGATGATCTCAAAATTACTTTGAAATTTACCCCGATAATTTGATTTAGTTTTCTAAGATGTTATTACAGATCATATTGTATCAACGATTAGCATCTCCGATAATACTTATATTTAAAATGATCTGATTTTTCCCTGTGCAACAACTATTCACTGCTGCTCCACGCTCATTGCTATTTGACAAAGCTGCACATTTTTTCCGTTTCGTTCCTTTTCTTTCTGGAAGTGGGAGTGTGTGAGTAAACAAGGAGGCGCTCGTGGGCGGTGGTGTAATCCTTCAAAGGCATTGTAGGCTAGGCTACACATTTAATGGCATTTTGACGCTGCCGACGCTGATAATGATGTTGTAAATATGTTGCAACGTCCGCATCCGCAGCAAACTTCAAGTTGTCTGTCCCCCCAAAAGGCACCTCCCCTCCGCCCAGCCAGTCATTAGGACTTATGAATTTCGGTTTAAAAATTGAGCAGCTCAAAGTGCGACGGGGGGTGTCTGCAAAACTTTGGCATAGTTCAGCCTTCATAATTAATGGCAGAGCAGCTGAAAAAAAAAATCCAGAAATCTCGTACATATAAAAACCAACTACTTGAGTGGGCCAACTTTGCCCTAATGATACGGACGCACCGACAGACAGTCGGTCCGAAAGTTACAGTTCTCATATCGCGCTGCAGACATCACAAGCTGCACAAAAACTTTGTCAGGACCAAAAACCGGATGCGAGTGACCAGCGGAGAACTTTTCCCTTGGCCTCGGGACACTTTTTGTGAACTGTTCGACTGTCGCCCGGGGGCAATTTACATTTCACATTTAATTGGCAATTTCTATTTATCGAAATTGATCTCGCCCCGAAGTGGGCAAAGGATGTTTGTATTTTAGCTGCCAACCGGCTACAAATTGAAACCGTGTATATATTGGAGTCGGGAAATTAAATTTGACAAAGACTCAGCATTGAATCCATTTGATTTTGTATTTTACAAGCACTTATTTTCAAATTTTTTCTTGATAACGTTAAAGGAACTATATTTAACCAATAATAAAAAATACGTGATTTATTGAATGCCCACCAATAACTCACTTTTATTTCACATAACAGATTTTTATAAGAATGATAAAGTAAATAAAACTCATTCATATATTCATAGATGTTAAAGGTAAAGTGAATAGCCTTTATTATCAATCAAAACCTCTGCTTAAATTTGATCCTTTTATATATAATTTCTTGGAAACTTTTATTACAACTTTTTAATAAAACAGAAACCACTCACAGAAAAATAGTAGGTAAATATAATTATATTAGAAAAATAAAACAAATAGTTTTTTTTTAACTATTAGCTTATGAAATTATTTTTAACAATAATTAAAAAAAAAGAAACTAATCATTAAAAAAATTGTTGTAAGCCATTAATTTAAAAATTAACCATTCATTAAATTATAAATTGGTGAACTTTTTATTAATAATTTACTACATTTTATTCTAGCTAGCAGTTGTTTCGAAATAAAATTGTTGTACTTTGCGTTAAAGTAGTCAATAAACTAATTTAGTAACGCTTAACAAAATACAAAACTATTTCATTTAAATCTCAAAAACTAAATTTAAAATTTTTTTTAATTAGCAAGTAAATCTGAAATCCCAATTTTCCCCTCACCATTTCAGATTTACATAGTAAAATATGAATTGTCTTGCCAAAACTCCAGAAACTGGCATTTAATCATTTCTGTGAAAGTATTTATGTTCTTAACTAAGTTTTACCTTATCATTGTTGTATCTGCTGCTGCCAGCAACAACAACAAAAACAGGAGCGGTCACCGCAATCTTGAACTCCACGGACAGGACATTCAAATTGTTGCCTCTGCCGACGTTGACGCCGCCGTCTTAGCTGTGCGGCTGGCGCCTTGCACTTGACATATGTTTGCCGGATCTGACCAAGATCGTATGCTATATCCTAATACTCAAACACTTGGCCACTTTTCACTCACTGAAAGGCTCGTGCACAATTCTTTTTTTTGCCGGTTTGCAAGTTGGCCCACACTTGGGATTTCACTAGGGATATCGGGGCGATTCGAAAACCGTTCTCAATCTTTAACCGATTTTTGGATAATATTCCCGGATCCGGAGCATTACGTGCTGGGGGGATAAAGCGGGGAGAGCGATTGTGAGTGGAGAACGCTGCGACCGTCGCGTTTGGCTGCACAGTATTGAATTTTTTCGCATTTACATTTTTAACGAGGAGGGTTGGGGGTTGGTATTGATTTTTTTGCCACTTTGACAGCTGCCTGGTCCCAACTATGGCCGGCAGAGGGCGTCGCTGACAGTTGCCAAATTCGCGAGGGTTGAACAGCTGACCGGCGAAAAGCCGTTACAACTGGAGATTTCCAGGGTAAAAACTCTCCAGGGGTTGAACAATTCCAATATTTAACGGTAGGTGGCGACACTTTCAGTTCAAACAGCTGAGCTGTTCGTTTTGTGCGTTCAAAAGGTCCTTATCAACCCTTAAAGCCATTTATGTTTAATTTCAAAAGCCTCAGAAATCTCTAAAGCCCAAGATTAATTCAACAATTGGTTCTGTTTTTCATAACATTTTTAAGTACCAAATATTAAAAATAAAAATATAATTTTTTTAAAGTCCAATCTTTACCTCACTTAAAGAATTTTGAAAACTCATATTTTGGATTCTAATTTTTTCTAGGGGTCACACTACATGAACACATTTTTTGAGTTTTATTGCAATACATAAAGTACGATAACATTTACATTTCGCATTACATAAAAGCGTTTTAAATCATATTTGGTTGGTTGCTTGATAAAATTGCGACTAAAATTGTTGCGGTTTTTAGTGCCTGCTCTTTCACTATCACAATGAAATAAATTACATTGTTTGGATACAGTATACAATAAATATATTTGCTTAAGTGTGTGTATATGCTACATGTAAAACAGTATCTAGTTGCATGATAGGTAACCATAATATTAAATGGCTTATGCAGATATTTATAATCCTCTAACTATCATTACAAGACGCCAGATTTTTCTCTCATTTGGAATATGCGCGTGGCTTTTCAGTCTTTCAATAAATCCAAAAATCTAAACGTCAATGCGTCCTAGTAATATCGCGTACATATAAAGTGAGTTTCATAGACATAAGATGGCTAATAGTTTAATTTGTATTTATCTTAAGGTTTAATAATTTTGAATCATCTACTCTTAGAAGTATCTTCTTTTGGGCTTATCTCTGTGTATTGTCTTGTGATTTTTGGATGCTGCATTTGTTTCTTATATCTGTGAAACTCACTCTTCATTTACTTGAATAGTTAAGCTATATGCTGATTTTTGTCTGTTTGAGTTATATGTTTAAAATTTGGCTTTGGTTACCATGACAAATGATTTCGATGTTCGTTTTTTAAGACGCGAATGGAGCTGAATTTGAGTGCACTTATGAGTGGTAAAACTTTGTTATTCATTGGGTGAGCCTTTGAGTTTTCTTTGAATTATATGAGTACAGATTTAAATGAGTCTTACTATTCGAGTTAAAGGCATAAATTCAACCTATTCCATTGACTAAACATGGATTATCTAAATATTTTATTACTTCTAGAGCCCAATTCTAAACTAGTTTATTAACAAAATATTTCACTCTTGGATTAAACGTTACTAAAATTTATCAATTAAGGTAATGTGTGAAAATAAGTAATATAATTTAGAATTTTTAAGTACAATTTGATAGTCTGTTGATTGAATTAGTTTAAATATTTAGTTGAATTAAAATTTGTATATATTTTTAGTTATTCATCGCATATTTTTGAACTCAATTCTTAAATAGTTAATTTTCCTATTCCTTTTTCATTCTATACTCATTTAATTCAATACTCATTAAAATATTATTTAAAATTAAAACTTTTTTAACTCATTACTTGTAAAAGCCTTGAACCATTTGATCCAAGCCCAACTCATTGTGCACTCTCGTTCTATTTGAGACGGTTCCTGGTTGGATCTCTTTGCCGCCACTATAGATCCATTCCTAGACGAGTACTACCTACAGCCTGGTGGCCTCGGACGTGGTTTGGACATCTCCTGCTCCGTGCACCTGCTGACTGGTGGTGGAAGTGCCCACATCGGTGGTGGGTCGCGGCAGATGTGAGTAGTATCCCATCTGGCAGGAGTTCTGGTGGGTCAGCTTCTGGTTTTGGCTGAGCTGGTACTGGGCCGCCTTAATAGCAGCCTGCTGCTGGGGGGTTAAGCAATCGCAGGCGGCCAACAGCTCCTCCGTGGACTTGGCCGTTATAGTGGTGGTTGTGGTGGTGGTCAGCTCGCCCACAAACTCGGTGGGCGGCGGGGCATAGTTCTCCACATCGCCGTAAGTGGAGTATCTGCCGTACGGATTTCTGCGCGGCATCGAGTGACGCTGCTGGCCAATCTGCATTTTAATGGCCGGCCTAACAGCTACTGTGTCAAGGTAACCGTAACCAACATTATAGCCCGCCTTGTTGGCCAGATTGTCCCAGGATTTGGGTTTCTGAACATAAGCTATAGTATTGGGATAGATCTGCGGCGGCTGCATTTGATTGGCGGTCATATGATAGCGTTGGTGGTAGTCCCCCTGGTGATGATGATGATGGTGGTGCGGTTGTTGATGGTGTAGCTGTTGCTGCGGTTGCTGTTGCTGCTGCTGCTGTTGTGGTTGCTGTTCGTAGGACTGCCTGGATTTTGTGGAGTGCTGTCTGGATTGGCCAGCCTCGCTTTTGGGATCCCAAAACAAAGTATCCGTGCTGATGGAAGTGGTATACGAAGCAGTATCACCCGGCGCAAACTCACTTGAGGTGCAGGAATGTAAGCTGCAATGGCTAGCCAATCCGGAGGCCAAGTCGAAGTAGCGAGATCGGGTGCTACCTGTTTGGGATTGCACCTGACATGGATTCTGCACCTGGTGGGGATAATGATGATGGTGGGGAACTGTCTGCACTTGCTGTTGTAGCTGTTGATGTTGCTGCTGTTGATGTTGCTGCTGCTGTTGTTGCTGCTCGTGGCTGTGATGGTGATGATGATGGTGGTGGTGATGCCCAGATCCGGAATTTCCTCCTCCATTGGCATTGGGTGAGGCATGGGATGTGGACTTTGGTCTGACCCTCTGCTCCTTGCTCTCCACCCGTTCCCTCTCCCGGTGCTTGTGCTTATGTGTGTGCTCCTTGTGCTGGCGATGGCGTCTCCTCGATGGGACACAATGCGTATCGCAGCAGGGACTGGCCAGATCGTAGGCATCCAGGCTAACATTATCTGGCGCTGGAATCGCCGACTTCTCAGCCGACTTCCATCGGAAATGGCCCAAGCAGGGATTGCACGAGTGGCCCACATGAATATGCTTTCCGGAGGACTTCTCTTTCTCTGCTTTTGGCGGTTTAGCTGGTGGCTTGTGCTTTTCGCAAGTGCGAGGAGGTGGTGCCGGTGGTTTTACTGATCCACCAGTGGTGCTATGATATTGTGTAGGAGCCGTGGTTGTGGGTTGAGTCATGGAATTCGCATCCACGGACTCTGTTCGCTGGAGGATGTAACGCTGAGCGGTTTGTTGGTGATCGCTGCTGCTCCTCTGGAGACCCAGGCCATCAATATAATCCTCTGAGCTACCGTGGGTGGGTCGCAGGACGTACCGGTAAGTGGGATCCAGGTATTGGTAGGTGAGCATAAACTGAGCGGGAGGTGGGATGATTCCTGGTCCGCCCACAGCTTGTTGGCGGGCCGCCATGTTTGGCACATCCTCGGTGGACAGGGCGGGTCGATAGAAGCCCGTTTCACCACCTACTTCAGTGGGTGAAACACCCTCCCCATCGCTGGGTGAAGTGTTCGCATTGGCCTTCTTCCGGGCTGGCAAGCTGTGCGTCTTCCACTTGCCCTCCAAAAGCTCCCGCTCCCTCAGATGAACCCTCTCCAGCTCGTTCATCTTTTGCTGCAACAGGCTCTGCAGTTGGATATAGCGCATGTGAAGATCGACCTAAGGGAAAATATATATTTTAGGAATATCCATACTATTGAAGGTTTATTTTTAGGAGTTTTTGAACTTCAGGAAAGTAATTTAAATGAAACTGATTGACTTTTCTAAAACGTTACTTTACCTTCCTCACACAGTCCTCGAAGAGTACGACCATTCGCATCCTGGTGTCACTCTGCTTGATAAACTCGACGATGGTCTTGTGGTCCGCCTTCTCCATATCTTTGCCGTTGATGGATAGGATCACGTCGCCCTCACGCATTCCAGAACGATAGGCCGGACCACCGTACTCGACGTAGTCCACATAAGTGATCATCTCCAGCTCCTCATCGCGTTTATAGTGGATCCCATAGCTCTGCAGGGTAAACCCATATGAGTTGTTCTTCTTCTCCACGATTATAGTCCGGCGCCGTCGATCCTCATCCGGGTTGGCAGCCAGAAAACGCTCCGATTTATGGCGTCCCAGGATATGGGTGGAACGAGATAGCTGAAATACATTATAATATTATCATTTCATTCTTTCCTTTATGAGAGACATTTTATGATATATAATATTTATGAAGAACAAGAACATTTTTTTATAAGAACTAAACATTAGTAAGAAACTAGACCAGACTGTCTATTATCTCGCAAAGCTCTTTTTCTGTGAAAGGAATGTGTTGATTTGTGGTGAAAGTGAAAAGCTTGTATGCTAAACTATCGTTAGCACTTCCGGGTATTTGCACGTCTAAGCAATGTGGCACACCAAATAGCCGCCAGGTGTGGTGGTGCTGCAAACCATCAAAATAATGTTTGCCAAGCCCATTCCTTCGCCCCTACTGTTCTTCCCGGTTTTATTGAAAGCATTTCTATGAATACAGGATGAAGACCCCAGCAGGCAACACTTTCACTGCCTTTCCGAAAAAACGGTCGGGCAAAAGGAAAAGCAAACCAACCACGAATACAGGTGCGGACAAAATAATATTATACAGACGTTTTCCATAAATTAGCAAGCTAGTAATGGACTTAAGAAAAAATTTGTATATGTTCCCACATAATTTTAGTTATTTTAAAATAAAAAAAAAAAATAATAGAACAATAACTTAACAAAAAGTTTTTCAGGTTACATTATATCTTGTTAAAAGTTTTAAATGTGAAATAAAAATTAAATTACATACATTTATTGTTGCTAAAACTTATTTTATCTTATTATTTTTTTTTTCAAATAGAAAACTAAAAAGAAACTTGAATCCAACATGCAATCTACCGAGATAAGCCGCACTGCTCTTTCATTAACGCTTTATTGTCCACAGCGCAATAACTGGCTTGAAAGGCTTTGGAATAGACCTCCCGTCGGCCATAATGCCATCAGCAAGGAATAGCAAATTGTATGGCATTCTATATAAAAATACAGTGCTCTTTTAAAATGAAATTGTAAAGCTTTCATTAAAACAGGAAATTATATAGAAAAAACGCTGGCCAAACTAGGAAAATTAAATTGGAAGTTCTCCAATTATATACTATTTCCGCTTAATTTAAGTTATTTTAAAGAAATAAAAAGTTGTTAACGAAAAATAAACGCCTGGTTAAAATTCATTATAGTTAAATAAAAATATAAAAAAGGAGATATGATGAATGTACTGCCCTTTAAAATTAGCCATTTACTTTTATATAAATGCATTACTTTTAAATGTTCGTCTTTGAGTAAAAATAAAAAGACCCCTAATTTTTCTTTCCAAAAAAATAGTTGCTTTCGTGACTTTGTTCGCTGATGAAACTTGAGATCCAAACGTGCTATCGAGTTATGGAAATTATGGCATGCGTATGAACACCCCCTTACTTTCAGTGATCCATAAATTAACCCAACTGGTTAATTTATCTAATTGCCAGGGCCACAGTCAAGGCCCTTCCGTTCCCTAGGGTTATGATACATTTCAATATATTCAATATTTCCGAGGCATTGAATTATTAACACTTGATCGACGACGGCGGTTGTTGGCGGCTGTTGAGTTTGCCTGGCGAAGCGTAAACTATGCATAACGACCCGGCCGGGAGGTTAAACAGCTGTGGGGGCAGCAAATGCACCGAACTGGGAGCCTGGTGGCATAAACCACCCCCTAAGCACCCACTCAACAAGAATGCCAACAACCACCACCCACCACCCACAAGACAAATTCAATTGAGCCAGCACTGCAGGACCTTGTCGCATTATTATGACTCAGTGTGGGGGACAATTGAATTTATTTTGAGATGATTCCGACTAGCAGTTGGATACTTGGACGCTTGGACATACCTGCGCATACTCGATTTCCTCGTCGCTGGCATCGAGACTCTTGTGGAACTTGAGCCTGCCCAGACTGCCGGTGCCGTTGACATAGTGCGACGATTGCTGATGGGTCTGATAGAGGTGTTGCTGCTGGGACTGGGTATATTGCTGCTGCTGCTGGTGGGGATGTTGCTGCTGCTGCTGGAGGCAGGCGGCGGCGATGAGGGAGCCCACGGAGGTGGCGTTGGAGGCCGAGATGGACACCGCCGCCGCCGTGGTGGCCGCACTGCTGGCCGCCGTCGCAATGCTCTGGCAGCTGGTGCTCATGGGCTTGCTGGCCATCCTCCTCGTATTGATTTCTTCACGCAGTCATAATTACAGGCGGATCATTCAAGCCGCTCAAATGAGACACCGACAGATACAGATACCGAAATGGTGAAATCTTTCGTTTGAAAACAAGGTAACCTCCTGCACCTTGGGGGCTCACACAACGAATGCTGGTGCGGTCGAATGGCTTCAATTAGTCATGGCCATTCATAAAGTTTACTCCGAGTTGCGTTTATCAGTGCTATATTTGTTAAGGGAAAACTTTTCCATATTCGAGTTCGGTTTTGTTGTCGCGTGAGTCGGTTTCCGCTTGGTTTGTTCCACTTCCGTCGAAGTCTGGTGCCGTACTGAGCGTTGGAGGTGCCGAACGGAAGCGGGAGAACGCAGAACGGTACTGCGGAGAGCACACTGCACCCACACGCACGGCCAGCAGGGAAAAGCGGTTGATATTTATGGCACATGTTGACTGCTGTATCGCTGAGACCTATGTTTTGGGGGGTTATGCGCATGCGCCTACTTTGCATGCCCGCCAGAGCATAAATAGCTGTTAAATGTTAACGGAAACCTCTTTAATATTAAATTAAAATCAATTTAAATTTGACTTCTTACATTGAAATATTTAATTCGAAGTGTTTTTATCTAATAGGTCTTTTTTGATCTATAATACTTTGGATGATCAAGTTAAGCTTTAAGTGAATGCGGTGTGATAAGTATTTTTATAAGGTTTAAAGATTTAAAATTCAACCTGCTCCAATTGGGTAATTTCAATTACCGTATAAACCTTATATATAGAATTTCTATTTTTTTTTAAATTTAAATTTCAAACTCCCTTAAAAAATTTTAAATAAAACTTTTAATTAATCTTTGAAAAATAGGAGCTAATATCGATGCCCAAATTCTTAATCAATCACCAGTTCAACTTTTTCAAAAAGAATTTTCAAATCCCATGATAAATAAAAAATTGAAGATTTTCTTAAACCGCTTTTTAAAATTTTTCTGTTAACCGTTAGACCACTGTTGGCTCTTAACATACCTCTGTACATTGGCATGATTCCACATTAAAACTCTTGTTTTGTTATTTTACAAATGTATTTATTACAAATGGAACCTTGACTATTCCGCTAACTCGCCACCGGGCACCAACTGGAATAAATTTGTTGGATATTATAAAAAAACTTTAAATTACTCTAAGGAGCACCTACCATTGTGATGTTGTTGCCGTTTAGCAGAATCTGATCCAGTTTGGTTATGCGGCGACCATCAGGCGTATTCTCGTACTCCGTAACATCGTCCAGAAGCATATTTACGAAGTCATCGAATCCTAGGAGGGTGCCCACCATCTCCTTGTCGTTTTTCATAATTATGTGGATGCGGGAACCAATGCATTTGTCCACCAATTCTGCAAGGAACCCCATTCAAACCGGCATATGTTAACAACTGTGGGTTTAAGGACTTTCACTCGGTTTCTTACCCAGAGGCATCAGTGTGGAGATGTTAGAAGGAGGCGGAACAGCAGTCATGATTCTATGAGATTTATTAACAATTTTTATTACAATAATTGAAATTTAGCAAAGGTGTTTTTGCAGCGAGGTAAACAATGAGGCATTTTATTATTAAGCTGGTCACACCGAAAATAGGGCTGCCAAACATAATTCACAAATTTAGCTATAATATAGCTTACAAATGTTGTCTAGTTTATAGATGATTAATTGGTATACTGAATTGCCACAAAAATCTTTGAAAATCCAACAAAATGAAAATTAAAATCGAAAAAATTAAAACAATCTTTTGATTTTTTTTATATTGACGAAATGCGAAAACAGATTAGAACAAAAATTAAATAAAACGTCGATTCCTGATAAATTATTATATGGCTATTTGAAGGAAGTCAAATTAAACTAAAAACATGTACGGATTTGGATTTCTGAATATTGAGAATATAATTTAAAGTCAATATAATTTAAATTAACCCACCGAAACAAAAATAAATAATTTAAAATTCAAATTTAACAAAAAACAAGAAAGGAAAGCTAACTTCGGGCGGAGCCGAAGTTGATATACCCTTGCAGAATACTCTGTAAATTATATTCTCCAAAATTATTCATATAATGCATTCTTAATACTCATAAAAAATCCCAACTTCCTAACTTTACAAACACGAAAGTTATGGCATTTCCGATCAATCAGTTATATGGCAGCTATAGGATATGCGTCCCGGCCGTTCCGACTTATATACTGCGTGCAAAGGAAGAAGGGGTGTGCAAAGTTTCAATTCGATAGCTTTAAAACTGAGAGACTAGTTTGCGTAGAAACAGACGCGGACAGCGGACAGACAGACGGACAGCGGACAGACGGACAGACGGACATGGCTATATCAACTCAGGAGGTGATCCTGATCAAGAATATATATACTTTATAGGGTCGGAGACGTCTCCTTCACTGCGTTGCACACTTTTGACCAAAATTATAATACCCTCTGCAAGGGTATAATGAGTACAGAAGTTTTAATACCGTTGCTGCCATATCGAAACTTTATGACAACGTGCACTGCGCGAATAATAGATATTGAAACAGTCAATATAAGGAATGTTTCAGAAATTATTTAAAATCAATCTATTAGGGAAAAATATATACACATTACCATTCGAAAGCACCCAAATATAGCTTATTTGACCCAATCGCTTCTATGGCAGCTATAGGATCTTGTCGTTTAATCATAAACATACACAATAATAAAATACGATTTGAAAAGTTTTATGTTGAAAGCGTATAACCAAAATCCATAAAGCTTTTAAGCTGAATAGAAAAATACGGGTATGGCTATACATTAACTCTCCTGATCAAGTATATATGTTCACACTATAGGGTCGGAAACGTCTCCTTCACTGCAGTACAAACTTCTTACCACTTTAATATGACTTTTGTAAGGGTATACAAACAGCTAGATGCCAGCTCTGCTAACGCGATAGTAAAGGATTTCAGGTGTTTCGCGCTACGGTCTCACCGTCTTTCACAATTTCAAGATCAGGAGTTTAATATATCTCAAAATTTGAGCCCACAGCAGTCGCCGCCGTATGCTGGACAATTTGGACGAGGGGCAGCGTTGTGCCTCCGCTCGCCGCTTACATAATGTCTGTGTTGCTGGGGTCAAAGACATGGAAATTGGTCACCAGCAGGCGGCACTTCCTGCTTCTGCGTCGATCGCTGAACCAAGGTCAGTATATTTGCATGCCAAACCAAGCAGTATTTATCATGTGATCCGTTCCCTTGCAGACCTTACAACTGCTCTCAGACCCTTTTATTTCGCTGTTCATCCGGACTTCTTTGCCCAGCATCCTGAGCAGAGGAGCACCAACGAGAACTCCCTGAAATTGCTGAGTGAGCACTTGGAGGCTTTGTATGAACGCAGACAGCGCAGTGGGGACTCCCAGGTGCTCAAGTTTTATGTGCGCACCAGTTCAGATGCCGACAAACGGGACTCCTTCAAGCTGATCCAGATTCGCACGGACTGGCAAAGCACTCGAGATCCCAAGACCTTCATTCAAGGTCTCCTGGAATCCTGTAACCTGTCCACGGAGTATGTCAAGAACATCAAGGCGCAGCCGGAGCCGCCAAAGACCTCTGGCTTGGATTTTAAGCCAGGCCAGGACTATCACTACGACACAGAGTTCGCCGACTTTGAAACTCAGTTGAAGAATGTTAGTAGAACCACTGTAACCCTTTGAAATTCATTTAAATATTCGTTTTGTTTGACCAGGAGAGGGCTAGCAAGCGTCCAGTATTGACCACTTGGTTGGAGGAGAACGCCGGTACGGCTAAACAGCGCTCCAAGGAAACCGCGGATCTTCAGGCCGAGATCAATAAGCTCCAAAAAGTGCTGGTGGAGAAGCTGGATCTGCGGGATGCCCGCTACGAGTGCGGCTGGAACATCGAACACTATCGTGGGTGCTTAAAGACTCTCGAGAGATTGGCCAACACCCACCTAAAGGAAATGTCGGCTCTAAAAGGTCGCATTGTTGTTTTTGCTCCCTTCACGGGCATCAGTTTAGAGGGGCATGTGATGCTCTTCACCGGCGATGTGCTCAACACCTGGATTGACTTCATCAAGAACATTCCGCACCATGATGCTTATTTGAAGGTGGTGCCCGTTTATGAACGGACACTCGCTCAGGTTCTACTAGAGATCCAGATTGGGCGGCGGAAGTTTATGCCCAAGCAGCAGGCTAGGGGCTATGCAAGCTACCTCATGAAAGTGACCACTTCGCTCAACGATTACATAGGTAAACAAAAATATCCGGCCGAGTGGCCGAAAACTCTCAAGGAGTTCACCATCGTGGTGGAATCGGAGGCGGGACCACTCATGGTGAGCCCCACGGGTCAGTTCATTACACCAGCCACATGTCCGGGATCCATTCTCGTTGACTTCATCACCGTTAACATGGAACTGGCCAGGGAACGAATGAAGAAGTACGCCCAGGATAAGCACGTCGAGGAAGAGCTTATGGAGTCGTGTATAGAGCAGCTGCAGCTGCAATCTCTCACCAAAGACGATGCCATTACCCCTGACAAGATGATTAAAGCCCTTAGAGATCTATCCCAGTTGCAAGTGCAGCAACTGCAAGAATGCAAACTGCACATTACTCACTACTATTCAGTTCTGACCGATGGCGTAGTATGCATACCTTGGGACTTTAAGCAGAGGTAGTTGGATTTTCTCATGTGCCTTATTAGTCAAAATAAACATAGTAATAATTTACAGTTATTGAGGCTGCATCATCCCCATTCTCTTCCAGCTAGGCGGCATCGCTGCAGTCCTCCAGACTCCAAGTGCACTCCACCTGATGAGTTGAAAACTCCGATGCATGGCGGGTATACACATGATGTTCCTCGCCATCCCAGTGTAAAGGATCTCCACCACACAGGACGGACTTCTCGGTGGCCGCATCATACAGGGAGATCCCGCCATTTCCATACACCACTCGCCACCAGTTTATGTTGGTCCGGCTGTACACGTTTTTGGTGATGGAGTGACTGGCATTGTTCACAGTAGCGGTGGCTGGTTCCATAAGTATGTAACGATTCCGCCAAAAAGCGCTGTAGAAAGCAAACTGCGGGCGGCTGTCATTGCTGTGACCACGCTGGATAAAATAAGCTGCCTTTTTTGATCCCGAGCGTTGCTGCAGATCAAATACGTCTGCGGACACTCGTAAATGTACGAATTTCCATCGGTCACATTGCGTATGCAAACCTTACGGGCGGTGTACAGCAGTTGCTCGTCTTTGGGAAGGTGGGCGTATATATCTGCTTGTAAAGAAGGCACCACTTCCTGCTCGAAACCAGGCTGTTCCAGTAAATTTCTGAGGTTGCTCTGCAATGCCTGTTGTACTTGGGGATCTCCACGTTTCAGCTCTTCCCTGCTGAGTAATTGAAGATTAGCCTGAGCCAGCTGAGTCAGACTGGCCGTAAAGTTGCCCAGCCTTTCGACCACACTCAATGGCGTTTCCAGGGACAAAACGGCATCATATAGAACTTCCAGGATGTCCCTCAGGTAATCCAAAGTGCTGAAAGTTAGACGATGTACGAGTGAGTGTACCAATGGAAAAGATGCATGTCGACTGCGGGTGTGAAACGGAGCCTCCAACAACTGGGCACTGCGGTTAACAAAAGCGCGGTAGACCAGTTCCATCAACTGCACTGGAACATCTGTGTGCAGAGACAGCTGGTCGTAAAATTCCAGGATCTTGGATGGATCGTAGATCTGCTTGGTCTGCTGGAGCTCCTTCCAGAGAGCCGTGTAAATGGCCTCCTTAAGCTCCAGGGTCCTGGCTTGTTTTGCTAATTGAAGGACGAGCTTGCCCCGCTCCCAATCTCCTCCGACTTCAGAGCGAATGACTGACTCCAGGTTGGAAGAAGCAGGTGATTCCACGGTAACAGAAGCGGCCTCATTTCGCCAGACATCGATGTGGTATAGCAACTCTTGTACTGGAGCCGATGCATTGAGAACAGTCAGGAGTTTGCTGCCATTAGTTTGGATATTATATTCCAAGGCGCCAGTGAGCCCGAGCCCAAGGATGAGGACTAGCCAAGCGGAGGAAGATCCCATTCTGGCTGTACTGGTTGGATGCCCTCAAAAGGGTGCAGCTTTTATAGGTAAGTGGCGAATCGGCTCTTATTTGTAGTTCAATCGGATATTTACTTACGGATTTGGTTGTTGACCCTTGTGCCAATAAATGCATACAACTTTTAATTGCATTTTGCACTTGCGGAAAATCTGAAAAACGCGGCGATCATAAACGGTTGGGCATATATTTACATTGCATCATTTATATAAAACTTTATAAGCATTTCTGAGTTACGTTAAAATCGACAAAAACATATTTTACTTGTTTTTAAAGACCATGATCTGGATACTAAGACATTTTTGTTTCTTTCTGGTAATTAGCTAAAAATGCAAACAAAGATTACTAACAACTAATAATATGTATCGTAAGCTTGCTTAACACAAAACATCAGAGTCCTCTTATTAAAGGTGGAAAGACATATAATTTACTAAAGAAGTAGAAACATCATGTTAATATCTAGTTTCCGAATTTGGTTTTTTAATTTTATATTAAGTTTTTAAGTTAAAAATTAATTTTTAGGAATTATTTAATAAGTGTTTCGGTCTGTGTCTACCAAAAGTTTTTATCGGTGCGTCTGTTCGGGGTTCGAATCCAAACTAATATTAACTTCCGGTTTAAAACCCGGGAACTCAGTTATCTACATGCATTTCACCCACTATTTACCTGCGTATTTTGGCAGTTAAACTCATTTCAATTTCGTTGAATTTATTTACTTTATTCAATTGTTTTAAGAGGCGCATAGAATTTCTTATTTCTAGTATCACAAAAGACTATAACGACACTTAGAGGCTAGTTGATGCTAAAAATGCAAGGCAGAGCTACAGAATATTGTCTGCTATAACAATAAGCTACCTAGTAGTTGGTTATAGAGATGATCTCCTAAAGCTTCGTGGAGTTGCGTGACTTGACCGATCTGCGCAGGATGCTGGATCTTAGTTCACCACCCGTGGAGGCATTCAGAGATGCTCCCGTCTGGGTTCCCCTAACAAAGGCCTGAGATCGCACTTCCTCCACGTCGGCGTTTCTCTTCTCCTCCTCATCGTCGTCCACCTGTTTGGCCAAACAGGGGAAGTCCCAAATGCTCTGCCCGCGTCCAAACTCCTCTCCATCGCTCAGGGTTTGAGGCAGGACGTGATTAAGGGTTTCGGGCAGCAACAGCGACAACAAGCCACCAATGATTCCCAGGATTCCCAGAATGATTAATGGTAAAGCATTGGAGATGTTGGCCAAATAGACCACAAATGGAGCTATGATACTGGCCACATAGCCCATAATGTGGATGAAGGCCACTGCCTGAGCCCTGACCACAGTGGGCAGCACCTCCGCCGCCCACTGCAAACCAATGTTATAGCTGATGTTCACAAAGAACCGACCCATGATTGCCAGCGCGGCGGAGTAAATACCAACGGGCACCACAGTGGCCAATAAACTAAACACTCCACTGAGCACCATGGAGCTGCAGGCCAGCCAACGGCGTCCAAAGCGATCTAGGATCACCGTGAGGAGAGTATCCGCTGGCAACTCGGTGAAACAGGCCAAGGTGAAGGTGAAGAAGATGTCCAGTCCCAGGGAACCCACGTTCCTGACATGTCCATCGAAGACCAGCGATATGGCCATCCAGATAACAATTAGCAGCAGAGTGGTTCTTCGCAGTCGTGGGGACTTGAAAAGATCCAGTACGGAGTAACTGCCATTTTGGGCCTCCTGTTCCCGCATCCTCTTACAGCTGTCAGCAAAGATCTGATACGTTTGAGCCGGCACCTGGCGACCATTGCCTTTCTCCAGTTTCTTGAGGATTTCAACGGCCTTGTCCACTTTTCCTTGGGATACCAACCAGCGAGCTGATTCTGGCACAACAAAGGGGGTCAATAGGGCCAGAAGAAGGGGAGCGGAGGTTACGATGGCCAGTAGTTTCCAATCTGCCAAAAAGTACGCAATCCAGGGAAGAAGGCAGGCGGCGCCAGTGAAAAAGATGGCTATCGACATGTTGGCCACAAAGGTGCGGTACTTGGGACCAACGTACTCGAGAACTGTGGAAAAAAATATAAAAACCAATTTAAGTTAATCCACTGAAACTAACTATCAAATTATTTTATGGCTTTGACTACGGGCAATCACCTAATGGTTCATTTTAAATTGGACAGCTATTATTCACTCTAGGAAAAGGTTAATGTTTAACTTCAATAAACTAAAGGCATTTGCATATGTTCTATAAGAATTGTAAGAATAATTGTTAGTCAAAGAAGTGACTCATTGACCATTGTTAATTGACTTATTATTTCCTTTCTAGAGTGGAAATAATGTTCAAACTATAAATGCTTTTAAGGCTGATTTTATTATTTAACTTTAAATAAGAAATTCTTATGCGAGGATATTATGTTTGAATTGATTTTAGCTTCCATAGTACATAGATCCATAAAGTAATTTTACTTACCCAAAATGTACATCATGGTGAAGCAGTTGTCGAAGGCGAATCCCACAAAGAATCGCATGGCGGCAAACTGCCAGAAGTTGCTCACAAAGGCAGTGCCCACTCCAGCCAAGAGTCCCATCATATTGGTGCCGATCAGGGCGGGAATGCGTCCGAAGCGATCTGCCACCCAGCCGAAGAGGAGTCCTCCCACGATGGCGCCCAGAAAGAATATGGACTGGGCATAGGTGGGCAAGGCGGCGTCGTCACACACCCAGTTCTGTTCGGTGGCCACCGTCGAGTAGGGGATCTCCGTGAAGTTGTATGACCAGCCGTGGCGGCACTTGACCCGCGGCCACTTCGGATCGGCCATCACCTTGCCCTGGGCCAATATCTCTGTGTAGTTGACGTCGTACATGTAACAATTGTTGTACTCCCCGTTGCTCATGGGAATGGAAAGCGCCAGTCTGAGAAAAAAGGCGAGAGAAAAGAGGTCATTTTTCGGTCGGTGCAATTAACGCATCCAGGGTCAGGCGTGTGGAATTGTCTCCAGTTCTCAGACGCTCTAAGCCATGGCCAACACTTCTGCAGCGAGCACTCAAACAGCTAACAGAAGTACATATATCTTTGCATGAACGTATATGTGAGACAACTTAATTATCATGATCTTGAGGGGCACTAGAAAATGCGGTTGCGACTTAAACGTTTTCGGATACACTTTAACTGTCCATGTCTGCTCCATTTTCGGTTAGTTTAAATTGTTTGTTTTGGTGTATTAATAGTTTAAATTGCAGTGCGTTTATGATGAATGGCCTGGCGTACAAATTTTCGAATTTACGTAATAATTCTATAGTATTTTAAGCCTTTATTTATATACAGTTATTTTTAGTAAAGCCAGCACTTGTTTCGTTTTAATTCTTATAAAACTGGGATATCTAGGTGGACATAATATATTTAACCTCGTTTAGTGATTTAATGATTGGAGCATATAAATTATAATACAAATAAAGTGAATATTTACAGTGTATAATGACATTTTGAAACTTATTGGCAAATAAATCTTGGTCTTTTTCTGTCATCAGTTTCTTCTAGTTTATTAATATATTCAATTATCAAGATGCATCGCTCATACACAATCAATTATCATGTTAATCCGAGAGCAAACTTTGACATTAATCGTTTTTATTTGCATAATCCGCGTATTCAGTTGCAAGTTGGAATTTTTGAATTAAATTATAATAAGTAGTAATGAGTATTGATTATATTAAGGGAATGTAATTATTTTGTACCAGATGTTTAAAATCATTAATTATAGAAGTTATTTATAGATTTAAATGGTATTTTTGCAGAGCCAATGTGAATGCTGAGAAGAGTGTCTGAAGTGCGATTACCTCGACTGTAGTCCGCCGAAAAGCGGCGGTCTCACATCATCGCCGCCACACAACATTAGTCTTGCGGATGGTTGTTGTTGCTACCTGTGTTTTGTTGCTGCTGCTACCGCTGCTGCGTTGTCGCAACGTTCACGCTGCGCTGCTGCTAATTAAACAATTTGGCCGGCCAACTTGGCTTATCTAACTGCCCCCACATCGCCCCACCACCCACTTGGCGGCGGGGGAAAACGATCTCCTTGCCACTGAGCAACGGTGGGCAGCCCGGCAATTATACAGATGAACGTTTTTCGCAGTAAGGTTCTTTGCCTTATTAAGCCGCCGCTCTGACTGGAAAACCCAATCATGGCCCAAGGTCGTCCCGACTGGCCGTTCTATGCCAGCTCGGCTTTAATGACTTTGGTCAGAACACTCGTTTTCGTTACGTTTCATTCGTTTTCAATTCAAATCACGCTGCACGCTTTAAGACTTTGCGAATACTTTTTATAATTTGACTAGTAGAATCAAGAATTTGGGAATGGGGGTTAAAGCGGACCAAATCTTTTTGCTCCGCCAATTCTTTTAATATGATATTATCCAGTTTAGGCTAACACACAAACACACAACACACAAGATTGCAGGCTTAACCGGTATTAGCCTTAGCCTTTCGATTCCAAGGTGATTGGTACTATTGGTTGTTAGTTATAGCAATCGATCAATTGCTTTTTTTGTGAAAGTTAAAACGGAACCGCACATTTCAGATTGCCATTTACGCACAATGATCATACTTCCGGATTGAAATTGTTTAAATAGATTATTCCAAAGGGGTTACCCCTTTGGCCAGACAACTTTTTGTTGAACCTTTTGACTTTGGTTTTTGTTTGTTTTTGGTGTTGTTCACCTCTTTCTTTAAATTAATTGATCTCTTTAAAGTCCTTCAACTCTTTGATATTTGACTTTCAGTTTCTTTCAGAAAATTAAATGGAATTTATTACTAATTAACATTTTTTTGTAAGAATTCAAATGAGTAATTTTTAAATTATGAATAACAAATATTATTTATGTCCGATTATTATCTCATTTTGCTTTAATTTTAACTCCACTTAAAAACAATGTAATATTTGGATATTGACTTCTTGCTGGTAAACATTTTTTGTTTAAAATTATTTATGATTTATTCATGATTTATTTTAAAAGAATTTATTAATAGTAATTTTTAAAACCGTATCATAGAGACAAAAACTTTGGAAATAAATTATATTTTTATTATTTTGCTTTGTTTTTGTCTGGAAAATACTTGGCTCACCTTTCTATTACTTAGTTTGTGGTGAATCTTAAACATTTTGATTTTATTGAACGATAATTATTAGTTCCTTAAATCGACCAGTTTACTTGTTTATGATTACTTAAGGAATATAAAACATGTTAATTTTAAAGCAATTATATCGAAGAATTGATTTCAGTTTAGTCATTACTATTATTTAGCACCCACAGCTGTGGGCAATCATAAAGTTCTGAAACGCGTTGTCTGTTAATAGATTCATAATCATTTGACTAGCCGCAAAGTCTTCATTATAGTTTAGCACTTAAGGCGACG